GACACTTTCTTTTCCCTCTCCTGCCTCCCTCCTGCTTTTGCTCTTGTCCTGTGAATCTTTCTCAGAGCCTCTTTTTACACATCTTCCAAATTGTAAATTATGGATCTGACCAGCTGGTCTCTCAATGCAATTCATAACATTTACTTGATGAGATGACAGGGTGCAGGAGAAACCTCATGCCCTGAATAGACACACGCAGCTGGATATCTCATTGTTTCCTGGGGTGAATCGAAGATGATGTGTCTATCTATATTGTCTATTGAAGAGGTTGAAGACATGTACATAATTGGATTAGGACAACAGGATTATCTGTTTTTTTAATTGGCAGGTGTCTGGGATATTTACAAATTAGGAAGACGTCAGCAGCAGTTTTGGCAATGGTGAGGCTGCCAGCCTATGTGAAGGATTGTACCATGCTTTGAACACTCAGACTCAGATGCGTTGCCAGCCTGGAACTTGCTGGCATGAAGGAATCAATCTTGGAGAAGACTACAAGCACAGAAGGGTAGAATGACTACACATCTGGCTGTTTGGATTTGTCACTGAGTGTACCAGCAGATCTGTGAAGGCAGACATGACATCAATAGAGTTGGCCTGCCTGCCCCAAAACAACTGCTGTTTATATGAATCTGGATTCCTGTCCATCGTCTCAAAGCAGTCCTTGAGAGCTTCTTCTGCCTCAGGAGACAAAGCTCAGAATGTGTGCATGATGATGGGCTGTCTCATTACTATAGGTTTGTACAGAGGCTGTAGGAGAACCAGATTGTGCTCAAATTTTCCCATGGGGTAGTGGGATTGCCCTGCATGCTTCTTTGACATTAGCATGCAACAGGTTAATAGTCAGTAGGACTTGCGACCAATCCAGGGTGTACCCCGCCCCTCGCCCAGTGATTGCTGGACATGGGCACCGGCGACCCCGTGACCCAAAATGGAAGAAGCGGGTAAAAGATAATGGATGGATAGATGGATGAAGGTCAGTAATCCGTTTTTTTTCTAGGTGGGGTAGTCCACACACTGGTGAAAAGAAAGTGTAGAGTCCAGTGTCACCCAATTAAAGTCTCCAGAAGTTGCAAAGAAAGCCTCAGTGTTTGTAGCACTGTGTTGTGTTTGCAGATGCAACTATTGCCTCTGAGAAAGAGGAGTTGGTTGTGGGTGGAGTGTGGAAAATCAAAACAGTTTGTTTTTATAGCACATTTAAAAACTACTGCCATTGACCAAAGTGCTGCAGGAAATAAAGTATAAAATCAGTGTAATCAGTGTTAAAGTAGAATATCAGTGGTTAATATAAAAGTACTCCAAGTAAACTCAAGCATATTATGAAAGTTGCAAGCAGCGTTGAATGGCATCACTCAGCTGTTTCTCATCAACCAAATTAAATCACCTGTTCCTGATTTCACTCATCCTCCCACTCAGTCAAATAGCCCTTGGTTTCACATTTTACTTGCAAATCATATTGTTGACTTTTTACCTTTATGCCTAGGTCTATGTAGAGTTTTTTTGGTTGCTAAAGTTTGGTGGGCTTGACATTGTTGATGTTTTAGTTTGTTTTTAAGTGTCCTAGTCTGCATTTTTGGTCTTCAAACAACCACATTTCTAACATTTTATTTTTTTATTTTAATTATGTTTGGTCTTCTTCTTTGGTAACTTTTAAAACAAAAAACTGACCATGTGTGTGCTAAATTTGGCTCACCATTTTTAAACATTATCCAGTCAACTTTATGTATTTTGTTTTATTACCCTTTAAGACTTCATTAGCCAGTGTCCGTATAGCAAGTATTAAGTTTCTTTCAGCTGCTCCTTCTTCAGGGAGTCACCACAGCGAGCAAACTCGCATGAAATATATGGCAAGTTATTTTACTAGGGCTGGATGCCCTTCCTGAAGCAAGCTAGACTCAAATCCACAACCTCAGGAATACAAGATCATGGCACGGACCTCTAGGGTTGGCATCGTTTGGATTTGAACGATTGCCAGTTCCAATTCCGATTCCTCATTTTGATCCAGGTTCCTATCAATTCCCAATTCTGATTCTTTTTAGAGGTGGAGTTAAAAAAAGAAAAGTCACATGTTATAAATGAGCTAGTTAGCCAGAGTTCTTTCTGGATGAAATAATTTGAACTTCTATTTGAATTTTAATTCTATGAACTTTCACTTTTTATTACCTACTATGAATTTCCCACAGGACTATTTTCAACCAGTATATAAATATCAAAAGTATGAACTTTAATATAAATGTTATGGATTTTCTTTTCACACTTTCACAAGAGAGCCTTATTTTTGAAAACCTCATTGAAACACAACAAAGTCCACGCTCAATAATCCAGGTATACAATCCAAAATGTTGGATTGTATACCTGGATTATTGAGCATGAACTTTGTTGTTTTCAGCCAGTTTGACAAGACTCTCAAAAAGGAAAAGGGCCGGCAATGGAGGAGGGGGCGTACCAAAGAGACCATCTTCTCACAAGCAGAACTGGTTTGTTCCACTTTAGAGTAAGCTGTTGGGGGAAGAATCAGTTTTGTTGTGTGTTTCCTTGACTGATGAAGCCTTCCGGATCAAAGGCGAAACGTTTCAGCACAAAAAAAAAGAAACTGTTCAGATGACCTGACTGAAAAATGTTGGGCTCATTGAAACACATTTCCACATGTCCAGTGCTGCAGCCATGTTACTGAGCTCCCACTGATGGGCTAACCTGGTGCAGAATATCAAACAAAAAAGAACAACTTGTACAGTCCAGTCAAAATTAACAGCAGGTACAGTACAAAATCAGAAATGGTTCTTGTTGAGGAAAACGATTATACTTCTCTGGCAGTATGTTTGAGTGTTCTGGACAAGAAAGT